CCCCACTCTGTCTCTGGTGAAGCCTCTCGCCATCCCTGAGCCTCTGGCCTGTACGCCAGTTCTGTATGCACAAATAAATAAACTTAAAAAAAAAAAAAACAACCTAAATTGATATTGATATTCCAAGGTAATCTACTATAGGGGCATAATCATCTCATAGAAGGAATATGAGCTCTTGTCACTAACTAGGTGAAAATAATCAGGCATTACTTCCCTTTCCTGATTCAGTTACCTCACCTATAAAATGAAGGTAATTTCTACACAGGATGGTTGCTATTTTAGGAATAATTTATGGAAATTATATAAAATAATATCCCTTTCAAGTGTGCTTAGTAGTTTCCTTACATATCTCAACTGTAACCAAATGGCATGAATAAAATGCAACAGAATAAAATGTAAATACATCTGCTTAAGCTAGTTTTCAAACTGGTTACAACGCATGTCTTATAAAACTTAAGGGTCAAATGAGAAGGGAAAGGTAATAACATATTTAGGCCTAGAAACAATCTTCAGGAGACATCTACCTTGGCAGGAAGATTTGAGTTGACAGTACTCTTTGTGACTTTGGATGAGATCTCATCTGAGATAGTCATTAATTGATTTGTCAATAGCTACTTATGCTAACTACTTAAGCATTCTTTTAATTTATTATCAGATAGGTTTTTCTTTCTATTTCTTGCTTAAGACACAATGGTATTTTTATTAAATGTGACAGCTGTGGTTTGAGGATTATACTTTGAAGGCCATCAAATTTAATAAATAGTAGTTGACTTGCTTTAGGAGATGTGTGGATCACCTTGGATTTAATACAGTTAAGTAGAATGGTTATCAATAACTTTCCCCTCAGGGAAAATAAACTGGTTAGAAAGACAGTCATCTTGGTTACAACACTGTTTATTAACTACACATTTTTTTTTTTAAACAATTCTAGTTCCTGACCAGACCGTATCTTGAGAACAGCAGTAATATCTTATTTGCCTTGGTATGTTAGTATTAGTTAACAATAACCAAGTACATACTATGTACTAAAAGTTTTACATACATTATCATCTTTACTAATACACAACTATAAGCTGTAACTGTAATTACAGCTGTAATTTCTTCACTAATAGGTCTTCTGTGCCTAGAAAAGCATGTGGCAGAGTGATGGCATTTAAAACGTAATTGTTGAATATGAGGAAACCAAAGCTTAAAGAATTTAAGTAACTCGCCCAGGACATAAGCAGTGCTTCTATTTGAATCCAGAGCCTGACTTTAGACCTGTTCTCCTGTCTCTCTTATTTGTAACTTCCAATTTAGAATTTGGTACAATGGGTATCTGCTAAATGAATCTTTCAACTTTTAGAGGGCTTATTGATTTTACCTGCCCCGTCCCCCAACTTTGTCACTGCTCTAGCCCAATTTTAAATGTTTATGTTGTTTATGTTTATGAAATGTTTATGTTTAGGACTAAGTCAAAGCTTTAAGTTTTCATCCTGCTGCTTCTCCTATCAGCAAACATTACTTCTGCTTCTCCTATCAGCAAACTTCTCTATATATAGAGAAGAAAATATCTACTAGAAAAATATATAGAACTTGTAGCATGTTAAGCTATAGGAACAGCTTTTTTAAAAAATAAAAACATAGTGTTAAATAGGTTTAAAACACAAAATGGAAAATTGGTGGTCATAAACTTATAAAAATTAACCTCCATTTTTTTGTGTGATTATGACTTTTCCTATAAAGGTAAACAAGAAACATGGAAAAACTAAAATATTCTTCATGTAAATAGACATTTCATTTTTTTTTACATTGTGTCAATATTTCAACTTTTATGTACTTATAAAATTCTAAAGGGATAGGTACGTAACACTATACTAACCAGGAAAGTGAGGTGCCCTCCTGGAACACTAACTGTAATAAACCTACTTTCACCTGGCCTAAAGAAAAGGAAAGCACAGCAATGTGATTTTGGGAATTGGCTTGGAGAAACAAATTTCAGTTAGATGATTATTATCATCTTAAAATTGAGAGAAGCATTTACAATATATATTAGCACATAATATTCTAGAATTACATGGACTCTGATATGTTAAGGTGTGTATTTTATTTTTGTTTGCTAATTTGTTAAAGGGATGGTGACAGAAGACAAATGTAGGATACTGTGCAGCCCTGTGCAAGTTATTTCCTGTCCTGAGCTCCTCTCTCTCAAAGTGTGGATAATGATCTCTAATTTGTAGGGCCGTTGGGGAGATTAGAAGTACCAGGCACATGACAACACTCAATAAACAATAGTTCTCTTTATTTACAGTCTTTCTTTTTCCACTCTGGTTTTGTTATAGAATGTACTTAAATCAGTATTTCCTATAACAGTTTCCTATGTCTGCTTTTCTCTTTAAATAACCTCCCACTTTAAAAAACTTGTTAACACATAGATATATATTAGGGGGGGAAATTTCAAGGAATTTTCAGTCTATCCTGTCGGGAATATTTTACTAAAAGACTGTTTATGGGTACTCCCTGGTGGCACAGCCGGTTAAGGCACAGCACTAAGACTTAGCTGAAGCCACTTCCTCGTGAGTTTGATCTGTATGCCCTCCGAGGCAACCCATTTGGGGCGGCAGACCTCTCCTGACCCACCTGCTGCTCCCGTCAGCAGTGTATTTTGTCAGTC